GTTAAAACACAGATGGTGTGTTTAAGTTTCCTGGTATTTTTGGGAGCTACAGGTAAAGTCTTGACGAGTTTGTCGCGTGTCTGGGGGAGTTTCAGCCCCCACCCCTTCTCCTCCTCTCTCTGTCTCCCCGCAGCGAAATCCAGGCTCTAGTGCTCCGACACTGCAGCAGCCGCGTTCTGCTTTGAAACGTTTCTGTAGTTTGTTATTGCTACGAGCTCTCACGCTAAAGCGAGAGTTGACTCCTCCCACACTAAGAAAACAGGAGGGGAGGAGTCAGCTGAGCTCCTGTGTAGAGGAGCACAGAGAGGGAGAGAGACGAAGTAAACAAACAAGCAGGAAAATGAAACTTATTGTCCTTATTTTTTTACTGACCTCAAAATAACTTATCGTGCAATTAATCGATTTATTGACTATCGCGACAGGCCTAACAACAGTCATTTCTGCATTTTTTGGAGAGGTCACCTCCTAATAAATATCATTACGGAAAATATAACTGCTCATTTTAAATCAATACTTTTACTTTTAATATTTAGGTACAAAAAAATATCAGATACGTTAAGACTTTTACTCAAGTAATATTCCTAAAGTAATTCTTGGGTAAGATACTTGTACTCAAGTATCATTTTGTGGTACTTTATACAACACTGAATCATGTTTGTCAGACACAATGTGGCAAACTAACCCTTACAGAGGTGATCGCCAATCAATAGCTATGTTTACATTTGCTAAATCCTTTGATCGGATTGAGATGTATTCAGATTAAATAATCTGAATGTATCGTTTATGGGCACAAAATCAATGAGCTTTGCACCAAGTGCTGACATGACCAGAGTTGTGAACTTTCCCTAATAAAACCACAAAAGTTGTACTTTGGTGATGAACATAAACAAATGTTGTGTTCCTTCTGAGTGCCCAGAATGGACCCGAGCCAGGTTTTAATAACCGTGGAGACGTTTCTGCACTCCCTGATTGAGCTACAGGCGAAGCAACGCATGCCGTTTGTCTTCCTTCTTTACCGGATGAGAGAGCAGGAGGAAATCAGTTCTGTGTGCCGCCGGCGACTACAGCACCGCTGCCCGTCCCTCCACAGAAAACCAGAAACTACTGAATGAAAGTCAGAAGGAAAGACTGGTGGGAGCTGGAGATGCAATCGTCTTACGATTAATCATCAAATAATGGTTTATTAGATACAAATTAGTTCAGTTTGAATAACTGATGGCGTCCGTTCTTAGACCTTATTCTAGTGTAGTTTGGCCTCCATCCAGAAGAGAGCTCTGCTGCTGTGAGCCTGGTTTTACTCTACCCCGGCCCTGTTGGCTTTGAGCAGAGAGCAGCCTCGATGTGGGCGGGGTCATAATATTAAACACACATAAATCTTGTTTATGACACAACAATAATGAACTACACCAAACTCAAAGGAAATGTACAGAAGTTTGTACCACCCATTGTAGAGCAGGATGACAGTAAGCTAATTGTAGCCAAGGCCAAAAATCTCATTGGGGGGGATTCACCTAAGTTACAGTCAAATGTACGGTTGTAAAATGAAATTAAGATTAACCATTAACTAGTTGATCAAGTTCTGTTGTCCAGTTTCTAAAACTAAGATGCATTAAAGTAATTTCTGCAACCGAACAGCAACGTCATCTTTTTTAATGCTTACTTTAACACCCAGGACACACAGCCATGTGGCTTACAATACAAGCTTATTTTACCCTGTAAACTAAAAGAAGGGGGTATTAATGGCACGAAAAAACAGTGCACCTGTCCCACGCAACCCAACGCGCAAAAGGTGACACACACACACACACACACACACTCTCTCACACACACACACACAGTCACGCTTTTGAGTCCATCACCTCACGGGAAAAAAAGAAGAAACAAATCTGACAAATGTTATTTAGTTGCTGCATTTTGCAATAATGCCTCCTTTATTTTATTTTATTTATTTTTTTGTTTGTTTCTGAGTTATTTCTCACTTACCGCAGAGAGTGAAATTGTTTTGCGTGCGAGGAGAGATCATTTTGCTCGAGGATTGTTTGTAAAACACTGTTTTATTTTTATGAAACTTGGTTTATTTATTTATTTATTTWTTTGCTATATTAGTTATAACCAGACTGTGAAAACTGCTTATTTTATAGTTTCACATCAACCTTTACATGAAAGTTTTTGTTTGCCATAAAATAAAGCATTGTTTTTCAAAGCTAAAGTAAATTAAAAGTATATTTACATCTCAGTAAGTCATTTCTTATTATTTCCCAAACACTTTAATTATAGCACTGACCGTAACTGACTGTATATCAGTTTTGCAGTGTATTTATTTTAAAGCAAAACATTCATGTCTTAACAACCCCGATCAGCACCTGAGAACCGGACCTGTTACCTCAGCTGTGTTTAATTGATGGTGTGTTTGCTAAAGCCAACACCTGTGTGTGTGTACTTGTTTTGACTAGAGAGTGAGGACCGTTTGCACCATAGTTACTATTAAAGTGAGGACCTCTTCAATGTCCTCACTTTGTTTGTAGCTCTACTGTGCTTTACTAGTTAGGTTTAGAGGTTTGGTGTGAATTAAGTTTTGGTTAGGTTAGGGTTAACTATAGACCAGTAATGGTTAGTTTTACTAGTTAGGTTTAGAGGTTTGGTGTGAATTAAGTTCTGGTTCAGGTTAGGGTTAACTATAGACCAGGAATGGGTTATTTTAGGGAAAATGTCTGGGTTAGGCATAAATACAGTGAGAAAAATGAATGGAAGTCAATACAATGTCCTCAGTTTGATGCAAATACAAGGATGTGTGTGTGTGTGTGATGTCTCAGGTGGCTGGCAAGACGAGACGTGGCCCGACGGCTGGACGGCAGTGACCCGAGACGGGAAGCGGTCGGCTCAGTTCGAACACACCCTGCTGGTGACAGAGACCGGCTGCGAGATTCTCACCCGCCGCCTGGAGGAGAACGGACGCGCTCACTTCCTGAGCCAGATGTAGGCTGGACCGGAGCGCCATGAACTGGACTTCTCCAGGGGAAAAAAAAAACAAAACAAAACAAAATAATAATAATAAAAAACAACACTCACGCATAATTCAATTCAGACAGAACCACTCTGAGAACTCATTGTGAACGCAGCTCTGATGGTTCTTCGAGGTTCACACTGGTTCCTCAACATACATGGGAGTACTTGAATGTGTCTTATATAAGGTGTTGATTGCTTTATTAGTAAAATCTTTATCCTCTGGAGGAAATACAAGAATATTTATGAGATTTGGTTTTGTTTAATAATCAGGCCCAGCTCCCTTCACTTTCCTGTCAGCCTCTGCTCACCTGGTGGTTTCAGAGACCGGCAGAAAAGAATTAGTAACAGTAAAAAAATAATGAAGTGTTTCAGGAAGCGGGATCTACAAAATTCACTATTTAGTTTTGTGTAAAAAACAAACAAAAAATGCTAAAATCGGGTTTAAAATGAACATATTCAAGGTGACAGAACAGAAGCAGAGCTTCAAATCATGGTTTTGCTTTCTGGTTGAAATAAAAAAGGACCAGCAGCATCACCGCATGTTTAGGTTGAGTTCACCTGTTGTAACGAGCCCATGATGTGCTTTTATCAGCACACATCAGTGATGTCAGAGAACTGGTGTAAAGTTCTGAACGTGTCGATCCCTCGGCTGTCCCATGTTTCCTACAGCTCCAGTGTAGCAGACTGAGCCAAAACACGTGACCCGTGGAACTAAAACGTGGGTTATCTGAAGCGTCACCGTGCTCTGCCATCGCCCCGGTTTCAGAAATGTTCTCACTGTTTCAGCATTTTTAGGAGGACTGATGTGATCATGGTTTCTCTGTTTCTCTTTGTACTTCTTCTAATGCAGTAATAAATGACTGTTCAGTAGCTGTGTGTGGGTGAGTTTGTCCTTGAGTTGATCTGTGAACTGAAACAGGACTGTGGATGAATTTACTGACTGAAYAGAAGCTGGCCTGAAGGCCTCCAGGAGAGGACAGTGATGAACAGTGAGCATCAGACACCGTTTCTACTCCCACCTCTGTTGTGACTGTAAAACAGAATAGTAAAGTTTCTTTTCCTTAAAGAATTAAAGGCCTAGCTTGCATAGAAGCAATGCATATTACCTCAAGTTTTAAACTAAAGTTATTGCATGTTGAAAGGAAGTGAGTTTTAGCTACAGAAAAAAATGCATAATCATGTTTTATTGTCAAATCTTATGTTGGGGCTTTAAAGTGCCTGTCATCAAAATTTTGTTATAAACAGGAAAGCGTTTTTGGAAAGAACATGGCAAAAAAAATGCACGTCTCTGACAAAGTTGAGATATTTGCATGTGAAATAACAGGAAGTGATGTCAAAGTGAACAGAGTTTTGCTATAATGGCTGACAAAGACTGTAGAGAATAATCTGATGTTTCTTTAGATTATTTTGAGTCAGAGAGATGAAGAGTCAGAGTTCAAATAAACAAATATAGTAAAGTTTATTTTCTTAAGAGTTCCCCTTATATGTCACTTCCTGTTTCATTCTTGTTTAGCCAAATTCAAAAGAAAACATGACAGTTATGTGACAAAATAGGTAAAACTGTAAATATAAAAGACATTTTCGTTRACTTTCGTATTTGAAGGGCGTATGTCACCGGTCCTTAAGAATGTGTAGAGGTCTCCGTTAMCACCACACTAAATCTCATTTCAGTTAAGTTTTAAACAGTTGTTGCACAAAGTGTAAAGTGCTTGTGACATGCATATCCTTCACGCATGTCAAATTGTACAGAATGTAATTTAAAACAGATTACCTGTTATTTTGTACAGATGTATAGACCAATTTTTTTTCAAAAACTTTCAATTTTATTTAGCATTTAGAACCAGTAGGATGTTAAAAAATCACTAACATTAAATAACCATCTTCCAACCCAGTCTGCCAGTAAAAGTAAGTTCTCCTGTCCTGCACGCGGTCTGACTAACACCGATTTTTCAGGCTCATTATGCAGGTAAACATCCAAAGGGGTTGATATGTACGGTCCTTCAAATACAAAACTTCAAAGAAAACTGTTGTATTTAAAAAACTCGGCATAATAGGCTACCCACATTTTACACGATTTGTCATATTTTCTTTTGAACTTGGCTCAGCCAAAGTGAAACAGGAAGTGACATCAAAGGGGAACTAGTGGTCTTTCTTCATTTAAACAATATTTGTACGCTGACTTATCTCTCTGATAGTGACTCAAAACAATCTAAAGAAACAGATTCTTCTCTACAGTAGTGTTATATTAGCAAYGCTCTGTTTACATGTAGAAATTCTCCTTTGACATCACTTCCTGTTACTTCACATGCAAATATCTCAAGAACTGGTCATGTCAATGATAAAATTTTATTTTTGCACTATGTTATCAATGTTATCTTTCCCAAAATGAATTCATATTTTTTCCCAAAAATTTATGTCACAGGCCCTTTAAATCAGGTTTAGAGTGATGAGTTTTCATGTTTAACCCTATTTGTGAGCTGGAAATGAAAAAGAGCTAAAATGCAGAATTATTTATGTTTTGTGTCTTAGCACTCAAACCTTCTGAGACCAGGCTTCATCAGCACAGATATACAGAAGAAGTAGAAATGACTTCTTCTCCTTTGAGTTTCCGCAGCACTGCGTTGTTGGGAAACATCGCTGCTGACATTTCCTGCCCGAGCTGCACAGCTGAATTCAAAGTGCTGCATGAAGTCTGCCAAGTACGGAACAATTTAAGTCAACATGATCTAACTCTCCCAGCAGCCGGATTGTTTCCCCGGCACTAAAGATTCACACCACAAAGGTGTTTCAAAGCCCCACAGGGAGAGGAGGTGAAACACATCAGACCAGATCAAAGAATGTTTGGGAATAATCTGCTGTTGGTTCTTTTGTCTTTGCTTCTCACAATGTTCTCCTTTTTGTGTAGCGAAGGTGTGCTGATCAAAGAGCTTTCTGTCTGCGAGCTGCTTGACTAAAAACACATGAACAGAGAAATGAAAAATTCATAAAACCGAGCCGAGTTGTGTCTGAACCTGAACGATGACTGGGATTCTCAAAGAAACAACGAGACGAGACAGAAAAGAGCAGTAAGTGCTTCGATTCAGCTGCTCTGACTGGACCATTTCCATCATCCTGATCCGACTTCTGTCCTCAACAGAGGGCAGCAGCTCTGCATTCAGAGGAGAACCCAGGCTCCAGATGTGGAATCAGGATTTATCACGTCTCAGCATGAGATCAAATCCAGCTGTGATTTCCTTAAAGGAWGGAGGTAGATAAAAACATTTAGAGAGAAGTTTTTTTATTCAAATGATAAAAGCCTGCCAACGTTATTGACCCTCTCCTCCCACACTCCAGATAGTCTGGTTTGTGTTGCAATGACTAATTCACTGGACAAAAAACAGATTCATTTGCCAGAAAATCCTGCTAACGCTATATGTGTAAGCAAAACTAGCTCTTCGTTTAAAACAAATAATCAGTGACCGATCGGTCAGAGCGGTCCTGGAAATCAGAGGGAGAATCTGACAGCACTAGAAATGTTTCGTAACAAGAATGTTTGAAAATCGTCCAAACTAAACTCGCAGGATGGAAACGATAAGGATTTACGAGCTCTCGCTCTTACTCCAACGTCTGGGGAAGAATTCACCAGAAATATTTGGACCCCCACCACCCATCAGTTTATTTTGCGAGACCCGTTTTCCAGCCTGCTCCTCCATCAGCAGAGGTTAGGAGAAACCGATGCAACTCAAATTCCAGCCTAAACTTTTGCTTGTTTTCTTGTCAAATCAATATTGGTTTAATTTAAAAAAATTTTCACAAAAAATACAAACAGTACAACTTTGAGTTCTTACAAAACGTTTATTCTTTGACTTGTCACATTCCTGTTATTGCACAAATGTTGCAAAGACAAAAAAGCTTTCCCCCCACCCTGATAGATTGTGGAACAGACCATATGAGACATGTCTTATCAGAAACTTGTGGCTCAGATTTAGTTAAACTTTGTACCTGGTTGGTGAAGTGTTGCATGATATTTTGTAATAATTTGTGTTGATTTGATTTGATTTGATTTATTGATTCAACAAGAAAAGATTACCGGTACTAAAATATCAAGCCTGACTCAGCATAATTGCTGTTTTACAGCAGGTTCCTGTTCTGCAGCACATAAAACACTCAGAAATACAGCATCACAATCACATCATTATACATCATAGACACAAAGACAAACAAGCATACCAAATTTCAGGAAGGCAGCATTTGCAAAATAGGACGTCTAAATATGAGCACAACAAAAAGTGTCCAGCAGATGGCAGACAAGATTCTTCTTAAAGGGCTGTAGTTTTGAAATGGACTTTATGTTTTGAGGAATGTCATTCCATGCTTTAGTATAAACATAGAAGAAAGACCTCTGGCCGTAACAGTTTTTAAAAGTTGGTAATATCAGTTGTCCTTTTGTAACAGATCTAGTTGAATGACCACTTCCAGAATTTGATTTGGGCAGCAATGCACAGAGAGTTCCATAATTGGCACCTTGGAAGATCTGAAAATATAAATTAATACCACTATACATGTTGGCGGCTGGCTGGAGGACCAAAGGGTTTGGGTAACAGGAGGCAGATAAACAGATGTAAATAAAAACTGGTAAAGGGGAAATATTATGCAAAATCAACTTTTTTGAGTTTTATATCATGTTATAATGTTATATTCTCATAAAAAAAAAACACGCCCAAAGCCTTGCTTTGACTCGTTCATGCATGTTTGAGAAATCCTGCAGCGATTTTAGGAAGCCATGCTGAGGAGCAAAACGACAGATGGAGACCAGAAACGCCTTTTGGGACGAGAAACGCCCCTAGGACGTGTCTCCAAGCCGAGCTTCCTCACCACAGAGTACACCTCCCCACCCCCCGCCCATGACTCCTGCAGGCTCTGGCAGTAACAAAGCAAACGAGTGAAACTGAAAGTGAAACTGAAACTGTCTGCTGAGCTCTCAACACTACTTCTCACTCATTGAAGCTCTTTTCAGATTCAAAATACCTTTGAGGAAATCTATTTTCATATAAGTAAACTGCATCATAGCACACGCGCAAACCCCCCGCGCTGAAATGGGCGGGACAGAAGCAGAAGGTGGTTCTTAAAGAGACAGAGGTTAATTTCAAGGCGTTTAGAAGAAGAAGTGATGAGAAGACACGTTTATTTTCTTTTTAAACTTAAAACAGCATTTTAATAACAACTAAAGGTGACATAGATACTTTATTATGGTATAGTATTTAAATATATGCYTGAGAAACACATAATATTGCAACTTTAAAAAGGGGACATACCATACAAAATCCACTTTTTTACTGTTAAATTAAATTTGTTGTGGACTTGGAGTATCTAGGAGGCAGGAAAGTTTAATTTAGTCTCTCCTGGTGCTGCAAATATATCTTTATGTTCTGTTTGGGTCAGATTTTTCAGCCCATTCAGTTTTCTCTATTTTCTATGATTTTTTCTGAATGATTACATCAAATTATTTATGACGGAATTGTCAAATATGGTCTGGACCGAAAAATACAATTCTCTCATCTTAATTCTCCTCTGGCTCTGGGTCAGACTCTGGTTCCAACATGCAATGTTTGATGAAAAAGTTTTCTGCTGTTCACATATTTTAATTAAATTGTAAATAAAACATTTCTGAATGCTAGAAAAAGTAACCCTCCCTCTCAAACCGGAGTGGACCAGTCTGGAAGCCAGAGGGAGGGGAGAGGCTTGAAGTGTTTTAAAGGAACAGTAACAAAAGGGCTTGGACATTTGCCGGGGGCGGGGCTGGCTCTCCATCCTCCCTGGTGCTGCTTGGTCTCCTGAGGTGTGGCTCTTGGTTCCTGTGGGTGGCCCCCTGGCCGGGGTGGCTGTTGGGTTGTGGGGGGTGGACGGCTGGGGGGTGCACTTGGGTCGTTGGCGGTGTGGTGGTCATGGGTGTGGCTTCTCTGTGGCAGGGGGCTGGCCGGGCGTCCTGGTGCGGCCCGGGCCTTGGCTATCTGCTCCTCTCCACCTCAGAATGATTGGGTCTACCTCCTGGGTTCGGGTGTGTGCTGCCTCCAATAGGGGGTGGGTACATGTCCTGGACCTGGGGGGTATGGAGTGTGTATCGGGGGTATGAGTGGAATGTCCTTGTATGTCTTTGATTGAGTGGGGGTGAGCATGAGGGTGGGATGTGCGATTGTGTATGTTTAGGTATTTGTCAGGCTGTGGTCTGGGCTGCCCATCCTGCTGGTTTAACTGGGGGCCCGCTGCTACTTGGTCCCCCAGTGGGGTGTGCGACTGGCCGCCGGCGTGCTGGGGGTTCCCGGCGTCTGGGGC